AGTAGTCCATAAGGTCTATGGCAAGGAGTTTTGGATCTTGAATAAGTATCACATGATTATACAAAGTCTTTTGTCACCTTTCAAATTAGTAGCCACCGAAAATCTCTAGATATAAGCTCTATAGTCTTGTTATACCAAAAATGTCTTACTGCTAGAAAGTCATGACATGCTTAAAGAACACATAAACGTGTTTCTCCTTCTGGAACATATAGGCATCCTTCAAAATAGAAAAGGTTGTTCTTGAACTCAAACTTTGAAATATCATGAGACTTAGAAGAAAGATTCTTGATATTATGAACAAGAGGATCCGAGGACATACTTAATTGGATTTTCTTGATAAAGGTTGAATAACAATCAATGTTGATTTTATTGCTAGAAGATGAAAATGCTTGGGCTTCAAGAAAATCATTCTTTGTTGATGAAAAGATTCATCCCCTTCTTTTGGTGCAAGATAAGAATGTCTAGAAAAGACATTTGATAAATCTTGTTATTTTTCAAGTTTATAAGTGATCTTGAAATTGAATTTGGATAAAGACATGTTCTAACAAGCTTGACGACAATTCAAAATACGTGTTCATATGAAATACTCAAGGTTCTTATGATTTGTATATAAGGTAACTAGACTTGAAGCACCTTCTAGATAATGAGGCCATTCTTGAAATGAATCCATAATTGCAAGGAACTCTTTGTCATGGATCTCATAATTAATTTTGGCTGTTGAAAATTTCCTAGAATCAAAAGCTATTGGGTGGACTTTATCATCTGTTCCCATTTATGACAACACGGCACCGATAACAAAGTTTGATACATCTATTTTCATAAAAAATATCTTAAAAAAATTAATATGATACAAAATTGATGCAAAAATAAATTCTTTCTTTAAAGCATCAAATCATACTTCTACTTCTTTATTCTATTCAAGTTTGTCTTTACAAGTCAAACAATAAAATAGAGCTATAATTTAAAAAAAGCTCTTGATAAAGATTTGGTAGTAATTAGAAAAGTCTAAAAAATATTACACATCTTCTACTATTCTTAAAATCTTTCAATCTATGATAGTTTGGACCTTCTTGGGATCCATCATAAGGGCTTTGTTGGAAATGATGTACCCTAAAAAGTCAACTTGAGTAGTGTGGAATACACACTTTTTCAACTTGGCATATAATCTTGCATCTGTAAGTTTTCATAACACATGACGAACATCAAGTTCATATTTTTTTGTGTTCTTAGAATAGATTAGAATATCGTCTAAATAGCAAACAATAAAATTATCTAGAAACTCACGAAAAACATCATTCATAAATTAATGAAAAGTGGTTGGTACATTTGTGAATCCAAAAGGCATGATATTATATTCAAAATGTCCATACGTAATTTGAAAAGTAGTTTTCCATTCATTTCTTTCTTTGATGCAAACTAAATTGTATGCTCCTTATAGATCTATTTTGGCATAGATCTTTGCTTGATTGAGTTGGTCAAGAAATCTTGAAATCAAAGGTAAAAGATATTTATTTTTGATGGTGATCTTATTGAGTCCTTGATAATCCTCACACATTAGCACAGATCCATCTTTCTTCTTCACAAATAAGATAAGAGCTCCGGCTGGGGATTTAGAATGGCATATGAAATTCTTTGCCAAGTTCTCATTAATATATTCTATTAATGCAGCTAACTCATTCTGCAATAAGGTACAGATTGGTCCAAATGGTGGTTGAGTTCTTTCTTATAAATCAATTGAACAATCATAAGATTAATGCTTTGGAAGAATATCTACATTTTTCTTTTCGAAAACGTCTTAGAATTCTTCATATTGGCTAGGAATACCACTTGACGTTTCTTCACCATTAGAAATAGACATAGCATATATAGCAAAAGATGGTCCTTCTTTTATAGTATGCATGAAAGTTCTTACACCTTCTAGTAAAGATTTGGATATACTAGACTTTTGTACTTCTACTTTTCTAATTTTATCATGAATTATACTACCAAAAAAGTTAAGGTTACAAGAAATCCAATCTATTTGAGGATTATATTTTTTTTAGCCATGATAATCTTAAAATAATTTGATTGGAAGGAGATCTTATTACATTAAATATTATTACACTTTTATAATCTTTAATTGTTACATCTACAGGAACAATCTCATGGGTAACATTTCTAGAAGACAACGAACGACCATCTATGACTTCTACATATATGGATTTAGTTTTTTTGACTAAAGATATTTTTTGATTTTTGACAAAATCTCCATCTATAAAATAAGTTGAGGCTCTTGAATCTAATAAGGTAAGGACTTTGTGATTTTTAGGTTGTAAATGCACATCTATATAAAATAAGATGAGGGATCTAAGGAGAGAATAGGACCTTTACTAGGAGTTGCATATGATTTCAACTGCATAGTTCCTATTGTAATTTGAGAAAGTCATTTTTTGACACATTATCTTTTTTGGTAATTGTACTCCTCATTATGTAATTCTGTTGCTTCTTTGGATAATGTTGAGCGGTGTGCTTAGCTTCTCTATACTATAAACACAAACCCTCTTTACAACATCGAGTTTTTTCTTGCTTAGTGAGAGTTTTAAAACATATTGTATTAATTTGCATTGGTTCCAACCTTGATGAATACGTTTCAAAAAAAACTTAGAAGTTGTGGCCATTACTTGACTTGTTCCTCTCTAACCAAGTCTTTGTTCTTGATGCCTTTCAAATAACCGATTATCGCATGCAATGGCTTGAGTAATAAATTGTTCCAAAGATTTTGTTTTCAGCATTGTTAATAAGAAATCTTTGACACTATCCTTTAATCCATATCAAAATTGATTGATGAATGCTTTGTTATTCCAATCCACATCGCAAGTAAGGTTTTGGAATTCAGCAACATATGTAGTGGTTTTTCGTGATCCTTATCATAAGGATAAGAGTTTGATGTGTGCTACTCATTCTTGATCACTTTCTTTGAATATCTTCGTAAATACTTCTAGGAATGAATTCAAATGATAAAAGAGTTACAAATCTTTTTCTATTAAAGGTGTAAATCAAGAAAGAGCATTTCTTGAGAGAAGTGCACTTATGAATCCAACTTAAGTAAATCCATCAAGGTATTGGAAAGAGTGCAACTTTAGATAGAGTTTGACTTGTTGCAAAAATCTTTGAAATTTTGATCTTGTTCCATCAAACTTCTCAAGCATATTAATCTTGCTTCCGTCATACATATAGAAGCAAAATTCCTTGGATTTGGTTGTGAAGTCGATCTACTTGCTCCCTTCAATTGTACAATTTCTTGCCTCAGACTCTGAACTTCTTTCATAGGCATAGGCATAGTACCTCCATGACTCATGTTAGAAATACATGAGATTTCTACTCTAAGAATATTGACAAGTTCATAAAGATCTGCAATAGTTGCAAATCTATTTTCACTTCCGCTAGGAGTAGCATCTATAATCTTTCCTTCCATGGGCAACTCAAACAAATCCAAAAAAATTAAATTAGAGGATAGTAATCCACAACCTCTAATAAAAATTTCAACAAAGACGGGTAATCCACTCTCTTTAAGGAAAGATTAGTCTTAGAAAATAAGATTTTTTTTTCTAAAAGATGGATAGTCCGCAACCTTTAAAACACAATGATAGAAGTGGAATAATCTACTCACTTCTAAAATAAGATAGAAATAATATGTTAACATTCTTGTCAAATGTCAAGGACATAAATTTCAAAAAAGAGAATCCTCAATACACTCTTGTGTCACAAAAGAGAACTAGAAAGTCACTCCAAAGATAATGTAATATTAACTAGAATGGCTATTTCCAAAAATAAGAAGACTAGAAAATTTTGAAACAAAGGTAAGGACTAAAGCGGCATTGACAATAGTGAAGAAGGCTTCATTCTTGCCTCCATATCTACTTTTAACTAGGAGCTATGTGGCAATGTCATATAGGACCTCCAAAACATGTTGACTTTGCTAGCCATATGTCTTAACTTGCAAGGCAAGTTATCTATATATGCACCACATAGTTATCTTGTTCTACAAGCTACCAATACTTGGTTAATTTGTTGATCAAGTTTCCAACCTACAAACACATCTAAAGTCAAAACTGCATCTATGAAGCTTTTAAGAAGCTACACTAAAAGACTTTATGAAATTAATCTATATTTATCTACTTCTACCTAAGCATATAAGTAATTATTGATGTAAATGCATATGTCCGTGACACATGTACCACAACCATTGCCAATAAGTACATACATGCAACACCAATTCCAATATATATTATATATCACAACCATAGTTACCACCAATTTTTAACCATTATTATATATCATTAACCCATACATGCCACCTATGCACAAAAGTTTATACCAAATAATAATTCTACTATTATTATTTTATATCCAAACTACCACAAAAGTTAGGCTCAAGTTATAAGCATACTACAAGTTATATACACATCCATTTTATCTATACATACACTCAAGACATCTAGATCCAATTTCTTTCTCAATCTCTTCCTCCCTCCCTTCTCTTCAAGAGAGAGAGGAAGGGACCAAGACCCGCACCAAAGCAAGGAAGAGAAAGGGAGGCCAAAATCCACATTGAGACAAGGAAGAGAATGCCAGGGATTGGGACTCATGCTAAAATAAAGTAGAGAGGTAGGACACATATTGGGGCAAGATAGAGAGGGAAGGAGGCTAGGACCTATGTTAGGACAAGGAAAAGAAGGTGGAAACCAAGACCTACACTAAGATAAAGAAACAAGGATTTAGATGAGCCAATCAAAAACCTTGTGTATGTGGACACAATGGATGTGTACATCAACTTGAGGTGTACTTGTAGCCTAAACCTAAAAGTTAATTTTCTTAATGCCACTTATTAGTTTGGTATCAAAAGGTTTTATGTTACTTCACCAATCACAAAAATGCATTATGGAATGGAAACGCAATTAAAGATGGACAAGAACTAGTAGCATCATGTAGCACAGCCAAGATTTTCAACCTGCTAACACTTTGGTTCTCCAATTGGTGATGGGATTGTTGCCACCTCAAACGACTTTGTTTAAAAAAATGTAATTGATGCCTTGCATCATGGACAGATAGCAAAAATAACCGCTTTCTGACAGATTAGGCCACCACAGATCTACCGATTACCGCTTCCTTGCATCTGCACCGGAATAAAGATCGCTGATACAAGCTTTGCCATGGTTACTAAATCCTCTAATGCATACAGCATTAACATGCAGTATGAAGTGAACGAACCCTTCAAATGAAAAACTCGAATATACCATGAAAGAAAAACACTCAAACGGCAGTGTTCCTACATATTTCGAGAGGGGCAAGCATTTGCCCAGTGTCCACTTTGCCCACATTTAAAGCAGGAGCCAGCAGACTCTCCAGTTGCGCTAACAAAGGTGCCCCTTGAGGAATTTGATTGCCCTCCTCGCGCCCCACTAGACCTCGAGCTTCCAGAGCTGGAACTTACAACTGTTCTGGTACTCCTGGATCTTACTGTAGTTTTTGTCGATGCTCGCTCCCTTCGACCACCTCGAGCTCTCCCTTGACCTCTTTGAGTTGGTACTGGATCTGGTGCTGGAGGGTGAACAGCTGAAGCGTCTTCCCATCTAACAACACAGGTCAACGTGAAAGCGTGCCTGGCATTAGAAAAACTAGAGAAGATCTAGTGTAAAAACGAGACCGGAAAAAGAAAAAAGAAAACTAAAGCAGCAAAGTTGTTCATCAACATCTTGGCTCTGATTCAAAAATAAAACAGGGGTTTGATAACTTACTGGAAGAATTCGCATTCACCAGTAGGACAACGGTGAAATCGTCTGCCACGATTTGCCTCTGTGTTAGCGGTTAGCAATTTACACGGCTTGCCGCAATCGCAACGTACTCCTTCCCTTCCTGCAGCACCCAAGGTGAAGCATGTGTAGTTTGATTACTGCCGAACAAGATATATATGCACTTTTAGGATTTAAAAAAGCACGTCACATAATTTAGAGCTAAACTTCCAAGCAGCAAAAGGCACAGTCGGCCAACCTGAAGCAGGAGGCACGGATGGGTCATTCCGTCTTCGATCTTGGTTGCGGTTCGAGACGCGACCTTGCTGATTCCGAGGACAATCCATATTGTAATGTCCCGACTGCCCACAATTTGTACAATTTCTTTGACTTGCTTCCCGTCCAGTCACAAAACTAGAGTTGTTACCAAAACCATTGCTATTTCCAGACATGTAGCCACTTCCACCAGCTGCATTGCCATTGCCGAAAGTATTTGGAAATGCCCTAGGTATACCCGGCCTAGAGGATTGACCAGTTGGTGGTCCAGTGCCGCCTGCATATTCAAATCTACATCGTTGCATCAGTTTGAACCATGCGGGTCTACATAAAAGAGCGAAGGTTAACAAACATAGTAGCTATTCTTCGTGGCTCATTGTCAATCCCTATATAAACACTGTATCCATACAACAGTAGGAATGTATTTGATGTGGTGATCATTGAGGTCAATCATGAAGCACAAATGCATCAATTTAGACCTCATAGAAGTAAATATAACAGGGCGTTTTTCTTAGAAGTTTTTAAACACTTAAATTCTGTTACTGGAGAAGGAACATCGTATGTATAACCCACATACGTTAAAAATAACTAATGACTTATTATGCAACACAAAATAATTTATACAGGCTTAGATAAAGACTGGGTAACGATAAACATGAATTTCTTAAATCGCAAACTCAGGCTCAAATGTTCAAACCTGGAGTAGGACGTGGACCTGTCCCACAAATTTCAATTAACTCCTTGATAACCCGATCACAGCCCACACAACCTACAACACCGTGGTCATGAGATCCATTAAACATTCGCACCAGTGTAACCAATATTCAAGGACACAAAACCACTGCACAATCATAGAATCGATCTGAAAAAAATTTACAGAACTTCTTGTCAAGAATTGTCACCCATGCACTGCATCAACTTACAACACCTAAAGACAATGAAGTTACCAGCTTGAAATTAGACATGATGTTTGACTCTAAACCCTGCTATGGCACTTAAGGAAAGCAAAATGTACACCAAATGTCATATTCTAAAACTAGTACATCATTCCTAAATGCACCACCAGATGAAACTTAGCTGCACCCGGGATCATACTCATGAAAACTTTGACTAAACAACACAATACCTGTGTGCTCCACATCGAAGTTGGGAGGTATTTCACCCCTACGAAATTTCAAATATATCTTCAAGACCTGGCCTGCGAACACAAAATCATAACCTTAATCTTCGTACTACATGAAAGTCCCCTAACATCACCTGTAATTTTCAAAACTAGTCAGTGTCCGACAACAAGAACATGATCAAAAGGTATGAATGTGATCGTCTGCACATGAGGAAAAGACAGAAATCAAAGATGAAAAATGAGCTAAAAGCCATCTATACTAAAATCAGTACGACGTTGAGGGACTCAAGAAATTGAAAAATGCACAGTAGCGAATTTCATGAGGAAATGAATAATTCCCCTCGCAAGTATTTACCAGGTCCACAAGAAATGCAAGGCTGATTGGTCACAGATGCCTCAATCGCAGGTCCGGGTAACCAAACCACATTTCTGCACTGCCAGAGCGACTCCCAACCGCCGTCTGAGTCTAAGTTTCATGAAAAGAATTCCTAAAACGTATTAAGGTTCTGAATCTTAAATCAAAAGCACAAAAACCATGTCTTACATTCGGGTAACCGGAGCATCCGACCATAAACTTGCCATCCTGCCAGCAACAGATCCAAGCTCCGCATTAGAAATAGTCAACCAATGTCATCAGATATCCGATCAACGCTGTGAGATTAATTTCAGGTTCAGCATGGCAGCGATATACTACAACTCAGCAAGCTACCCATCAAGTCGACAAGCATGCTCCAGCACCACTTACCGGCTTCTTCCGAAGAATCATGGTATTTTGCTGACACAGTGGACAGAGTCGCACTCTTTCTCCTGCTTGTCGTTGCTCGTCTCCACCTGCAGACCTGCCAATTTGCATTTCGGGTTCATCAATTCTTTCAAACATACGCAAAAGTAGCTATTTCGTCAAAAAGATCCCAGCATTGACAATTAAAGTGCACCAACCACTCAAAACATCTAAATTTCTCAGTTATGTGTTTACAAGCATGAAGTTGAGAAGCTACCTTTCAAAAAAAATACCCATCGCATCCAACAGCTTTTCCTTCTGCGTTCTAGCCTGCAAAAAAATATTTTCTCATAAACTTTTCTCGCTATCAAGAATGCAAGATCTTGTGAAACATGAAGAACAGCAGAAACTTGTCCATAAACAGGCCAAAAAGAGTACAGAATGACAAGTTGCACACGTACACTGATGAAGAGACTCTTCATTCCTTCTAATGCTGCCTCAAGAACTTGAGGTTTTGTTTTCCTACCATCGCTCACAGCTTTCATGTCACTCTCCATTAGAGCCCGAAGATCAGGCTTCCACAGCTCATGTCTGAGACAAACACAATGTAAGTTATAGCCAGAACTACCGCTTAGAGACAATAAGAACATAAAAACAAAGACCAAGGTGAACGGGGGTAGATAAAGAATCCTTCCCTACCAGTACGCTACTCCAAGAGGCCCACATGAATTACACGTCCACGAAAACTGACATATTGTGACAGGCTACATTTTCTATTAACAGTCGCAATTGCCAATAGCTTACCCCATGCTATCATATCCCATAACCAAAGCCTCCCCCTGCAAAATAAAAGGAATTGTGGTTCTCGTAAAGGCAATGGCAAATATTTTGTAACGCTTCAGATCTTAATGTTCAACAAGAAAAGAAACATTCCACTACAATATGAGGAACGACTAACAAGTCGATTTTTATTCTGCACAATATCACCAAATTTAGAAAACTATCTAGTTAAAAATGTGCAACTTTACAAGTGATGCGCTCTTTGCTGCTCTCGCACTCAAACACAAGAACATCCATTGACTTCCAGATGCATTTCAAATTTTATTGAAATGTTTGTAAGGCGACTGGCATTGAGTCTCTAAAGAGATGACTAGCGAATCGCTTAATTTATGGTATACGCCGTCTGTGACGAATGCATTGATAAAGAATCAACAGTCAAACAGTCCTTATCATTCAGTAGAATTCTTTACTCAGCTTGTGTAAACAAAAGCTCGAGATGGTGCTCGTTCAACTAGATGATTGTGAAAAGGAAAGAGATCTTACGAGGGTTGTGGGACAAAAGCGTGTATTAGCATCTTTTGTGGCATAGCAACGGTCCAATAACTTCTTGATATGGTCGTGCATAGTTGCGTCTGTACCTATCCCTGCCTGCTTAGCCCCTGTCAGCGAACTATCTAAGAGAAGGAATGTAAGCCATACAAAATACACAACTAATTAAGCTGTTTGGTTGTACAGACATAATCATTACAAATTCATTTAAGTGAAACTTAAACTTCGATTCCACTCCCAGCTACTCACATACGTATGATTTGCAAAGAAAGGCTACCAAGTCCTTTATTACTATTCTAAAAGCATTCTTACAATGGTAGAAGACCTTACATCATATGGTTATCAGGGCAGGAACGACATTTTGCAAACCCATTAATTTCTCAAACCTTGATTTTATCATCAGATAAGGACACCAATATATCAGCTTAGCTCCACATAACTTATAAAAGAAATGCTAAATGACATTGTGACAGTACCTTGTCCATAAGACTAATGAGGTCTGCTTCACTGAGCAAAGGTGGAGGCTGCGTTCTGCCAACCTCCAAAGTCAGCCTAGTAGGTATAAACTACACACAAGACCACAAATGCTAAAAGATTACGACACCAAATGAAGGAACGAATTCTTTAGTGAGTATGAAAGTTACTTTTTAAAAAAATGTATGAGATGAAACTAAGGCAAGGACTCTTTGCCTGCAAAATAGACCAATTCTTTAACAGTACCTGATGACCATGTATAATACTCTAAATCACTGGATGCCAATTGCCAATACTAATCACTTCAAGATTACACAATTGCATTTAATTTGAGACGAAGATGACATTAGTAGTTGTCAGAGACCATGAGCACATGAGTACATTATTTCATTCTCTACTTCCAACAAAAAGTCCACTTTATGCATCGTCATCCTAAATGAACAACTCGTGGTGAAGGTATTTACCTGCTGACCCACTTCAAATTTTGGAATTGTAGAAGTACCCCAATTGTCGAATCGATAAACGTCAAGATAATTTTTCTGTACCATGTAAACAATACAATATTCAACACACATCACGTTTGAACAGATCCGGGTAACAAGAAATATCATTGGTTTTTCTAAAATAGGAATCGAAAATTCAAAAACCACTAATATATGCTTACTGCTGTGATCATAAGGCCTGTAGCAGTGAACCTCTCTCCAGCAATGTCTATAGTTGCAGTGGTTCCGTAGCCAATGGCAGGTTGAGAGACGCAGGCTAAAAAGTGGCGTACGACAAGCTCGTAAATTCTCTGCCAGTACTTGGCAGGAATAAAGTAAATATTTATACTGATATGAAAGAAATAAATAGTGTTTGTATAAAAAGTAGCTGGACTGATTTGTACTAAAGAACAGATAGATCAAATGTCAAAGGAGAAGGGAAAAAGAAAAGTCGACACCAATGAGAACTAAATATGATACAAAACAGATACGAAGTAGCAGAACTTGAATAAAGTCATAAAATTAAGCTGAACGACCTTAATGAGCACACAGTTGTTGCCCCTGACGACAGTTAACTGTAGAAGGCATGCACATCTATATGAACTATTTGAGCTACTAAGAAAGAGCTGCACATGATGCAAAAGACCTCAAAGATCTCAAAAGGTCGACCTTCTTGCTATCCTTATGATTTTCAGGCATGGTGGAATGTTCTGTATCAGCTTAAGACTGCGAAATGCTAGAGCGAGACATACCGCGTGATCATTTGTCCAGTTGCCTTCACCTTCGGAAAAACGAGTAGGATGGATTGGAGGATGAGCCTTATCGTCATGACCACCATCACCAGGCTGCTTCCACAACTGCTGTTGAGGGTCCAGAAGACGTTGTGCATACTGACCCCAAGCAGAGTGTCCGATTTGTTCATTCACTATAGACTGCCACACAGTCGAACCCCACAAAGCTATATATCAGACACTAACCCTACACATGTGACCCTTGATAAATAGCACAACCAAGAGACAGTACAGGGTACAAGAAGTAGGTAAAAGTTCAGAGACAGATTGAGGTAGAAGATATCTGATCCAATCTCCTTGACTTCAAAATTAAGTAAGTACATGGAATGTGAAGGCAACACTTCACGCTTCTATCAACATCCAAAATATCTTGCAACTCCTATTGGGACTTGGCCACCCCATCCAAGCTTGTAATTGTGTGCAAGGCTACATTCATAACTACCAGATACCTCTCGAACATCCACCAGCATTTTAACATAGAGTCTGCTAAGAACCAGTATGAGAAATCCATTGAGTAATAATTGAAGATGCGATAGCTTATGATTGTGGTATGCTATCTAGTAATCATATGCAAGCATTCAAGCAATGATAAATATCTATAAACCCGAGTTGCCATGGTACCTGCAAATCTTGATTTTCAGAAAATTTATCTGTCTCTGTTCTAGGATAACTAATGAATCCTGCTTGATATAATTCCTCTGCCACCTGCAAGAATTGTGATCGCACGGCCTCATAATTTAAAATGTATCTTACATTTTAAGGTGCCGAAATCAGCCAAGATTAAACAGTAGAAGCTATCATATGTTCACATGATCATAAGAGAGCTTGCCTTCATAGTTTGTTCTGACCCCATTCGAAAATACCGAGAGGCCCTTTTCTGCAATTCGACAGTGTTGAGAGGAACAGGTGGAAATTTTCGTTTTTCCTGTCCAGTGACTTGACAGACCTAGTAATAACAAAATTTCACATCAGGCAGGTACAGAGTTATATAATCATACCCATAAAGGGACAAATTCACCTGTAAATATACGAGGCAAGACCGACTACCAAAGATTATCAAATCCATCCCGAATTGACGCTAATTTTACAAACAACTTCGCGAATGCAGTCATACTCAACACTGAAGTGGAAGCATGGATTATTAGTGACTATATCTACTTGAATTACCGAGGTTATTCAAACTCAAACCAGGACTAATTGTAGACGTTGAACCGACATGATCGAAAGCGAATATAATTTGGTTGTCACTCCGCAATCTTGCTCCAGAGGAATCTAGTGTGAATGATTAATTGCTCGTTGAGGTGCGTTCGTTACTATTGTTAATAATTAGAATTGCAGAAATGGATTAACTGTAAATTAAAGAATTACTAACTTTGCAACTACATGACTTGCACATTGAGTAGTAGACTAATAACCATGAACGTGAAATAGAGACTAAAAGTACTTAATGCGCACATTACCTTACAATCATCACAAACAGCTCTCGCAGACAGTAATGTATTTCACTGGACACCATATCAATTTTAATCATTCAGAATTTTCAAATTTAGTCAAAGGAGAACTTACTGTGGCAGTAGGCCGCTCCATACACATTTCATAAATAATGAAGGCAGCAAGTTCATCAAAGAGCCTCCCACGTCTGTCATCCGCATTCAGACTGTTAAGTGAGTTTCCGGGAATATTGTTGCAAATCGCGAACTAAAATTTCACATCGGTATTCTCTCTCTCGCGACACACACACACACACAAATATATATATATATATATATATATATATATATATATAGAAAGGAGTCAATAATGAACTCCTTCTGCTGACTACAGAAATGCTAGCAGCGAAAGGTGAGCTGATGAAAGTAGACATACGCCCAAGAGAACTCAGCACTGCCATCCTCCGCCTTGTGAAAACACTTAATGGCCCAAAAATCCTCTGCCACATGAGCTTGTATTTGCCAGTAGCGTTCCACCACAAATCCCAGAGTTGGAAACTACACACAATCAAGTTTTCGCTAGCTATTCATTGCTTGTATAAAACTTCATATATTTAAATACGTCAAAACCTCAACAACCTAAGCTGCACTGCATATAAGTTAAGAAGAAAGATAAAGGTTTACACTTGTCCGCACTAATTATATTTCCCAACTGCATAACTTGCTGTCACTTGGATGGGGAAGACATAGTTGAGCAGCAGAAAATTTCCATTTGTCTGTTTGGAAATGGTTTGTAAGGTCATCGAAGACTATCAGGGGCGTTCATGTACTATATTTGTCCACAAAGACCGTAACTAGATTCATCACCATCTCAACCCAGTTCGACAGACACTCAAAATTTTGTTGAATCACAATGTAAAAACAGTGATTCTAGTCAGATTTTATCATACCTGGCAGGGTCCATAGCTCAGTACAAGCTTCTTGTCATCTTCACCAAATGGCATAACAAAGGAATCTGAGAGCAGCATAGTTTGAAAACGAGTGAATGATGCCCCAATCCGCAAATCAATCTCCTGATAAAACCAAGAGTCCAATCCAATCAATTGAGTAATCCCTCAAATTTGGATGATACATAGAGATTATATTGTCGAGCGATGGAATGTCCTAATTTGGACTTCCAACTTACAACCCCTACTTCACATAACGCAACCCGGATAAGGATATCCTAACTGGACTTGACCGAGCCTAATCCTTTTGTAAAGGAAAGATAAGTAGAATTGCAAACAAGAGAATTCTAGGCGAAGAAGACGAGCCCTAACAAGAAGATATGTGTTATGATTTTCCAGGTGATAAACGAGAGAGAGAGAGAGAGAGAGAGAGAGAGAGAGAGAGAGAGAGAGAGAAAAAAAAAAAAAAAAAAAAAAAAAAAAAAAAAAAAAAAGTTACAACTACGATTGAAAGGTTTATTATTGTTTAAAACCTGGCGAGCATCAACAGCATCAGCATACATCTTATTGGGGCGACCTAGATGTTGGACTGCATGATGTATTTCTCTGCACAAATCACGCGACGCTTAGATAATAACATCACGTCCAGACATCTTATATATTAAGACTACTTTTGCAATCCAAGCTGACCAGTAGGTCAATATTTCATGGCAAGTAGTGATAATGATAACAACTAAAACAGCAAAAGCGATCTCAGGTGAAATCGAACCTGTCAATGAGGGCAGAAAAATGCGCCCTCCAGATGTTAATACGTGCATTGCTAGCGCGGCAGACGTCCACTACTTCATACGCGATATTCTCACCCTCCCGATCACAATCTAGCCATAGCACGAGCCATTGACAATGCCGAGCTTCTTCTTCTAAAGTCTTCTGCAAATTCACTTTATCCTGCATACCGATGTAACATCAATTACATAATACCTAGTACGTGTCGCACCATGTTTTTAAACTAGTCTTTTACATTATAGTAATCAATTAAGAGCTGTAACGAAAGGAATAGTGACTATAAAAGTTAATATATCTCCCTAACAAGGTACCAGGTAGTTATCACTGTCTATCCACCTACTTCGGTGACAGAAAGGATCAGAATTCATGCACCAATTCTGTCTTGCAACGACGATGGAAATCGAGACAATATTTTAAGAAAGAAACATGTTATACTTGAGGCACTTTCTTTCGCACAGGCGCCTGAAAGAGATCTACAGGATCACAAGAATGCCATTTTCGGAATTGATCCTCAAAGTCGAGCTCCATAAGATGGCCTGTCACCGAGGTCATAAGCATGTCGCATTGTTGCCCTCCAATAGTGTAACCAAATTCAAAAATCTTATTATACACAGACCTCCCATTCCGAGTCCGTACATTGCCGCGGGATAAAATAACTGCCACAGATTTCGCCACAGAAGGTTTTTCCGCCACGTTCAAAACTCGAATAGGACGAGCCATAGTTTCCCGAAACAAAATGAATGACGACTCCAACCACCACTTTCAAAGATCAAAAACACTTCCTAACCCCAAACCTTGTCGTTTCTACCCGCTCCCGTGTCCATTGATACTAAAACCCACAGCTCCTTCAAACCGTCATCTCTAAACTGCACAGCCAGACATCGCTTTCCAAGAAGAAAATCCTCCATATCTACCTACGCTACATATTCTCCCACTGCACCGCGACCACAATTCACCACAATTTATCACACAGACAAACCGCAGAAGCGCATAAAATTGCACCACTCTCCTGGCAACCGCCTGCTATTTCGCCAAACGGAGCAGAAGGACAAGCCCGAAGGCAATTCTCTCTCTCATTCTGCGAGGTTATTATTTCTGAACAAACAACCTCACGCCGAATTGTTCGGCGATGGTAATTGCGAAGCAATTGGATCACGACCAAGACACGGGCATCAATCCACCATTGGCAAGACGGATCCCGTAAACCCTGAACCCCCGAAACTTCGAACCAATGTTGGCGGGAGACAGACTTCGGCCCCAAGCATGCTCAATTTGCAGTTCCTGCCCACCTGGTACCGGTACCCGTGCTCTCTGGAGTCATTCCCGATGGAGCTATCGTTATTCATCCATCCCACGTCTGTCAAACTTTATTATTCATCCATCCACTACTCCAACCCATTGCTACTACGGGGGAGGCCTGTTTCCATGCGTGAGCAAGGGAGACTCTGTTCTAGTTTCAACCTTGACAAAGCATGGTCATATCACACTGCTACATCAAAACCCCAAGTCTAAATGTTGGAGATGGTGCAGTTTCTCTCGTGACTTGGACAGCAGAGATTATATATATATATATATATATATATATAGACACACACACTCTTCATGCCCAGGTCTTCTGTTTTGGCACTTCTGAGGAAGGTGAGATAGTGGGACTCGAAGGTTTCCTGCATTGCAAGACCTCGGGCCGAAATCTCAGCAGTATCGAAATCCTAAGCATGATAAGGGGTTCATAGTGGCTCCAGTCATGAAAAGTGATGCACAACTTGATTCTATTCATCAGTCCTTGACAGTTGTTTCCTTATCAGAAAGAGAACCAAGATGATCAGCACAAACACTCGGTCAGGAGAAAGCACAACCATAACTGAGGCTCACACGTATTTAGTATCAGTGAAATTCACGATGGGCGTGCACTGTCTACTACTTGGCAAGGCGGGCATCTCCTCCTAAATATTCATCCATGACCATGGTCAACAAGCAACTGTAATCAAAACTGCATAGCCAAGTACAGTAGTCTCAAATTCAAGGAGGTGTGGGATATGGAAAATGTGAGCAAAGATGCTAATCACACAAAAGCCCAACTTATGTGTCACCATGATGTTCACATCAATCGATGAATTACACAAGCCTGCGCAAAGAATCTCTACGACGACAATAAACTAACCAGAATTTCACGTGGTCTAAGTATAAACTGATGCACTTCTTAGCTGGTGAAACCCTACTTTTAAAGCCAGCGGTAGGAAGTTTTAGAAGCATGTTGTATTATAAGAACCAATTAAGCTAAACCCTGCTACAGAACTTGCAAATTCAAAATAGGAAGAGAACCTTAGTAAATTTCTTTTACCAAAAATAAATAAAAATAGGACAACCTTAAAACTACTGGAAACGATGATACACTTTTCAAAATTTACGGTGAGTACTAAAATGGGAGTGCCACCAGATTCTGAGACCCTTAAAAACCAACTTGACACTTCCTGTCACCAACTACCTGGTCTCACCTGTAAGAATCTAAATACTAGGCACATCTAAATTTCACTATACAGGGCTCAATCAAGCCTTCAATTTCGAATGGATGGAGAGTTGACCCGCCGCGCAAAGTTTGCAAGTAACCAATGCACAGGTTCACAACAACCCCAGATACCTGAAGGAGCCTGAATAGGCCTTCCCTGATCCTGGACATCCAACAAAAAGTATTATTTAAAGAACTTTTTACTAGATTGAAACTACAAATTAAAGGACTTTCGGTACTTCTAATCGCAAATGTGCTAATCTCTAAGCTGAGAGTCTTGCAATGCAAGTCGTGGATAAGCAACTGCTGCAGAACATTGGAAAACGTAGTAGAAAAATAGCAGCACTACGAAAAGCTAATGTGAAGCTGAACGGAGATGTTTACCTAGCAGAGTCTCGCTGAAAATTCCAGACCCCTAACTCTGAGCTAATAGAGGAAAAACGTTACTCATCCACAGAGTATAACAAGGACACTAACCTCTCTTTTGAAGTGTGATGTGATGGAAACTTGCTCAGATTTCGCGGAGGATGTATCAACATTGCCTGACAAAGATGTAGCTTCGACATCTTTGGTTGATCCAGCCGAGTTGTCAGCCAGCTTAGATTCTGATATGTTGATGAGAGGCACCGAAGTCCCCTCATTTGTGGTGCGTAACTCTTTAATTGGAGGGCTCTGCGTGCTATCAACTGAAAAAGAAGTACCTTCTTCACTTTGGCTTTCCAGCAAGTGTTGTTGCTTTCCTGCGGTCCCATCTGCAAGTGGCTCTTCTATTTGCACGCTCGAATCACCTGAGAAAGAGCCACCTGTATGCAGAACCTCTCCAGCTTGATGCTCATCTCCAAATCCATCCTTCGGAAAAGCTTCCTCTACTTCTTTGGTGAGCAGCTCTGGAGCTCTATCCTTCAGCATCTCTTCAATCTGCAAGCCTGAATCAACTGTAGATGGAGAATCCTTTAGAAGAGGTGCCTCTTCAGTGTTTACGGGTTGAAAATCCTCCATTTCACCTTCTTCCAATTGGTTGGAATCACCAGCTGCAGAAAGAACTTCAACCAAAGGCTGGGAGTCCGCAATACCTTTGCCCAACTCCTGTTCCTCTTGTGCCAGGATTTTCTCTTCTATTTCCCCTAATTCGGCTATCTCCTTAGAATGCGCAATCTCAAGTAGCTGATTTAATTCATGAGACTCTGATTCAGGTACGCCACCGCTAAGGGGGGTGTCGTGAACTTCTTTAGCAATGTTTTCATTAGCACCTTCGTAATTAGAAAAATCCTCAGCATAACTAATTTGCTCTTTGGCGGAAGGACTTGCAGAAGGATTTTCCACTTCCTTCGAGGAACTAGCTTTTCCTGTCTCAAAAACTTCCTCATCACTAATAGAGCGAATAAAACTATGCGGGTTCTCAGAAGAACACTTCTCTGAAACCTTATCTGGAGTCGTAGGCTCCATGCCTTGTGCAACTTCTTCCAAGGTACTTCCTCTTTCTTCAAGATTCTGTTCAAGAATACTAATGGCATGAGACTCAAGAGTTTCAGGTTCATGTTCTGACTCTTTCACTTCTGAGGTTTGCGGCTCAAAGGCTTTTGAGTCAGGTACCTGGAAATCTTCGTTCTCCAATTGTCCGGGTGTCTGGTGTTCCGCCCTTGTGGACTCAGTCTCAGCTTCTTCAACTTCCGCTGATCGAGGATCATCAGCTTCATGAATCCAGGACTCATTAATATGACTGGAGATAAAGCTAGAAAAACTACCATGACTACCTGGCAAGATGTTTGAATCATTTCTAGATCCCTCCTGTTCAAGAAGCTCCTTCAAATTAGAAACGTCAGTGAAAAGTGTATATCGTCCTTCTTGCTCATCTGACGAGGCAGGTTCCATTATCTGATCCTCAACTCCGGACATAAGATCATATTTGTCTTCTTCATGGTCTTCTGATGAAGCAGGCTCAATCGCACTACTCGCCTGATCCTCAGCTCCTTTCTCTTCAGATGAAGACGTACCTACGATCATCTCATGGTAGTCGTCCTCTGGTGGTTCCACTGAGGCAACTTCTGCGAAGCTGCTTTCCTGACTATATTCGTGTTGGGACGGAACTACCACAATGCTACTCAGCCTCTCTTCATCGTCTGATTTTTTGAGATATGCCTCAGAACTGGAACCAACGCTTCTGCCACTACCTCTGCTGCTAGAGCTTGATTTGCAATGGGAGCTCATTCCACCGTCACTTCTGGAGCTCACACTCTTAGTGTCGTCTTCCTTGTCAGAAACCGACGAATCAGAAAGCACCTCATCAACATGCAACATTTTCTGACCCTGAACCTGTCCAGGACCTGAAGTCACAGGATTACGGACTTCACCAACGTCCTCTGCAAAAGACAAGTCTCCCGCATTTTCCCTCGAAACCGTCTCCCAATCAGCAATCCTATCGTGGCCTCGCACATCGCCATAGCTACCCTCGGCAACCGTGTCAAAGTCACTCTTGGCGGTGGTTGAGGTTGGCGTACCGACATCAAAGTCTGAAACACGCACCCATTCCTCCGTCTGAAACGTTTGATCGGCCGACCGTTCGTTGCTTCCAGTAGCCAAGGACAGTCTTGAGTTCACATCATTGGACATCTGCGGGCTGCTCCCTTCATCTGATGCATGCGAACCTGACACGCTCTCCTTGTCTGTGACATAAAAAGTGAAGTTAACACATGGAATATTGTGGTCCAAACAAGGATGAACCGTATTCAAGCGATTGTCCACCAGAAATGGAACTGCCTAAACGCCGCATTCTGAATCACTAGAACTCATGAGTAAGATCGTGTCAATTGAATTGAAGTTACTCAGGACTATTAACACTTAACCTCGCGGCGGATGCCTCGCAGTCTAAACTATAATGGCCAAGATCGCATACACAAACTAGAATAAGATCTTCGCAAGCATAAGCATGGTAGATGAAGATTAAGAATCTTCCAAAATTACAATCACAAGGAATGAAAACGTTCATATTAGAAATTCGTTCAGAACAAAAATAAACAGGAATCACGTCCATGATGCTCGGGTTGGAACATTCACAGAAGGTATCAATTCGCTACAAATAGATCTACTCGCAAAGAAAGGACCCAGACCACGAACCTCCAGACTGATCACATCTGCGCAACTGAAAAAAAAAAAAAAAAAAAAAAAAAACATTTAGACGGCTCAGGGTCTAAAAACAAGGGCAAGTATGAAATTCTTCGAAATAGATGGAACTCACAACTCTTAAACAGGCAGCCAAGCCCTTCACGCCTACTAACCGTACAACCGAGCTCTGCTTGCAATGCACAGGACGCTACAATGCTCATCGCTCACAACAACAAAGAGCAGCACTTTAAAAAAAAACGCCCCAACGCAACAAAATACTACAAGTCACAATCACTGGCACGATGGCCATCAAAAATTTCAAAAATAAACCCGACCCAGGCAACCGAAAACCCATGGGAAAGGCACCAAAAAAAACAAAACAAAAAAAAAAAAAAAAACAAAAAACAAAAAACAAACAAACAAACAAAAACAAATCATTCCAGCGGAATTATAATCACCAGCCACTCCATTCCAGTCCTCCACAACACCTTCCTACGCCACACACACACAAACACGATCTTTCACAAACTACTGCTGCGACATCGTAAACATCCTGGCCCACAGAAGTCTGCCAAAAGCCAGAAACATTACAATCCTTCTACCCACTGGGTTGAAAGCTGCAAACTTTTAATGTAAACACGGAAGTGACATCCGGGCACAGAAACATTCCAACGCAAAGGTTTTCCTAAAATTCCAAGATACCGCAGAATACAGTCGCAGAAGAGCTCTAGCACAAGGAAGAAGGGCATGCAACACGTAAAGAAAGCACGATGCAACAACGTCTCAGCATCCTCGCTTCATTGTGTCGCCTCAGTAACGCTACTCTCAAAGCTACAAGCACAGAGAAACAATCTGCGTCACCAGGGAGATACAGCGCGCGAGTCCGGGGGAAACCACGAGCTGGAAGCACGTGAGGAACACTCATACCGAGAATCCAACTAAGAACTCAACAGCTCCATTCTAATCCCGTCACGAGAGAGCCATTACGCATGCAGAGCGAGAGAGAGGAGGGAACAGTTCGGTGGTAGTGCCAACCAAGAGATGTCCCGGCTCCATTGTTTCTCCTCCTCCTGGCAGCTAGCCTCTTCTTACGCCCAGACGGCATACTGGAAAGAAGAGAGAAGAATAAATAAGAAACGGACTGAAAGAAACCCGAAGAGTAAGCTGCAGTCTCATCAAACCGGGGGGTGCAAGAGCAACCAAACAAACTCCAAGAAGGCCTTGGTTCCCTTCCTTCCGTCGACAATTGCACGAGCAATGAGGAGGAGGACAAAAGCAGTAGCACAGGTCTCCTCCCCCGAAACGAAGAAGAAGGAAGAAACACTTTCCCTCCCCCTCGTCGATCGAGCCTAGCACCGAGCCTGCCCTCGTTCGGCCCAGACCTATTTCCAAACCTGTTGGAGGCAGAGGTTGCTAAATTTGTGATTCCGCGGAGCCAAGCTCAAAATGGCTGGCACCACTTTCTGACAAATTGTATGATATTCCGATGCCTGTGTCTTTCCACCTTTCCGACATTTGCTCTCACTCGCTCTCTCACAACTTCCGCATTGCTGCTTCTGCCGCTTCGATTTATTTATTGCTCTGTTCTTCGTGCCACACACAACACAACAGCATACACACTCCCTCCTCCTCCTCCTCGCCACCTTGCTCCCACGAGAGCTACCCTGGCTGACTGAAGAAGAAGAAGAAGAAGGAGAACAACAATATAACTAACTCCCAACCCCACACGTATGTTTGTTTGTTTCTGCCTCTCCGCTAAAGTTACTCCCCCCCTTCCCTAAACTTAGCAGCACCAGGGTTAGTGGCGTGGTCGCCGAGGTCTTGACCCCGCATTCGTTCGTTCATTCGTTCTTTCGACTCTGTAGCGGCGTGACGTCACTTGATTCTCGGTTACGGTCTCCGGTGGGGACATCGCGCGTCAAGTAGCCCTGGATCCTGGAGTTGGAGGCGGCGGAGGAGGCTTCACATCCCCCTCCCTTTGTTTTATTTAATATACTCATGTTCTGATTCTTTGTTATTCACGACAAAAGAAGAATACATTGTGCAAATGGGATAGGGAATAAAACTTAAAAAGGGGTTTGATAATTGGGTTTATTATTATTATTATTATTATTCATTGTGGTAGAACATGGTTTTGGATGGAATAATGATATTGGTATACACTTGTGTTATACGCTACATCATGGATTGCTTTCATCTTTCACTCACTTTTTTTATTTTGTTGTAATAAGGTTTTTCTAATGGAGTGAAAAGGTAAGTCATTAGTATGATATTTAGACCATAACTTGAGCTGAATAACAAATAGAATTGCACATCTAGAGATGATTGAGTTTAATGGATTGATAATGACAATGCATGGTTTAATTTATATTTGCAATAACCATTATAAATTCAAAAAAGTAAAGCCCAATATAACACATCACAAATTGTATACAAATTAAATGGCGTAAACCAACTTTGACATTCAAATATTTCACATCTGAATGTTTATTTAATTTTTGAATTTCTTTCCTTCTCATGCCCTTTTCTTTTGGTTTTGTTTTTACTCTAGAAATCAAAAAAAATAAAAAGTAAATTAAGACCATAATCCTATAAGCAACCACCTTAAAGTCAATGCTTTGTTTGGATTTAACACATGCCAAAAAATTGTTATTTTTATACATTCATAGTTTGTTGGTCGTATCAAAAAATAAAATACTATGGTTGTGTCAAATAATGTTGTAGTTCTCCCAATCATTTGTATGCTCTTAGATGCATGCATGCGCCACGTACATTTTGATTTTTTAACTAGAAAAACTCAAATATATTTTTTAAATTAAAGTATTCATTTATTTGTGTGATGGAATAGTAGATTAAATGTGGTTGCTTCACTGTTACACTAGCTATCACTTTGCAGCTCAAATAGTTAAAAGTGTAAAGAACAAAATTTTGATTTTATTGCATTCAAATGTAAAAATATTGTTTTGAATGTACATACATACGCACACACAAGTAAATTTGAATAAGTGAATATGATATTGTTGTTCGGTGAAATTTGATTTTGAGTCCATCAAATATTCAAACAAATATATATATATATATATATATATATATATATTCACAATTGAAGTCCTCAAATCAGAGAACTTTGTAGTTTATCCTTTCTTCTCTTGTCTTGTCATTTTGGAACTTAATTTTTTTTCATGGTTTAATGTAATTTATATAGTATTGATTCGAGTTAAGGAAAGAACCACAAGTGTATAACTGAAATGAGAAAATAAATAAATAATGTGATGTAAAAATCATATTGCAAAGGTAGAATAAATAAATCTTTTATTGAATACATGTTTACCATAAACAAATATTCAAAAAGGATATAGATTTATAAATGTTGTAATTTAACAACTAGAGAAAAAAGGACATACACTAATTTACTACATTACGAAATTTGCAAATTTCACGTTTTTTCTTCATTTGATTTAAGCTTTTATTTTATATGTGGCAAATCTCACTTGAATATGTTAATTTTAAGAAGTTGGAACAAGGATATACAATCAATTGTACCATAGTTTAAAATCAACATGACCAGATCTAAAATATTTCTTGATGAAGAAATTAATATTAAAGAATCATTACTTAAATGATTATTATTTTCAATATACAAGGTATTAAAATAATTCGAAAAATGAATATTAGTAATTCTATCAATATCATGTTTCTTAAGTATCAATAAACAATACATGTTTAAATGTAATTGAAAATAAAACTGCAGATGTAAAAAAATCTAAGCATTAAACTCAACTACAACCATTTTGGAGTTTATAATCAAAACCATACATTTTGACAATAACAAGTACAAAACATCCAATTCAAATTCCATGTTGCTTAGGATGAAATAGCAAATAATAAAGTTTGATAATTGATATGTAGCTAGTAAAAAAGCATGGCAGTACCAGACAGTTTCAATCACTCAACACGAATTGCATGCTCCTCATAACCCTCACAACCTTCAAAGTGTTTCCAACCCATTTTTAAACTTAATAATAATCATAATATAAATTATGCATTTTCTTCAACATTTGCACGAGTTTTTCATTTGAGAAATTTGCATTATTTGACCGTGAAAGAGTCTATATATACACACATCTCTCTCTAAATATATATATATATATATATAGACATGTGGGTGGAGCCTTGTCCCATTTCCTCTATGCCCAGAATTTGTGTATTCATGGGATGGATGAGTTACCACTTTCATCCATGCGAGTTGATGAAGAAACGGGGCGGAACACCTGGCCAAGGACTTATGGGTGACATGGCGTGAAATGATTGCCCCCGGTCAGGAGGTGGAGTTTCATGCACACAATCCCGTGGGACCGGATCGGGCATAGGGGTTAGCTTAGCTGGCTGGCTGCCTAGCTGGCTGAGGGCTGTGGGATTCGGAGAGCCCATCACCGTGGTGCACAGTCAGTCCCCCTCTAGAATCCTCCTCTTGTCCTTAAAATCCCCCCCCTCCTCTGATTCCTTCTCTTTTCTCTGTTTCATGTATAAATATATATATGTGTATATGTACGTACGTAAGTATATATATACATATACATACATACATACATACATACATACATACATATTTATATATATACATATATATGTACTTATTTTCTTCCTTTCTTTCTTGACTTGTTTTTATAATGACCTATTTTGCTTCTTCTTCTTTCTTATCTATCTTTTTTTCTTTATGTCGTTCCGAGGTAGTTTGTGTTTTTTTCATTTTATTTACTGAATGGAAAAATATATATTGTACTATTAATTATTTTTTTGATTTTTTTTTTTTTAAATTCCCCTTGCATGCTGGAAACTGAGTGATTTAAGAAAAATAAGTACATAAAAAATACATATATCAATATACATAAATATCCACAGAAATAGATAATGGTCTATAAAAAGTTGATTTGTCTAAAAATGTACTTAATTTTAGTGGCTATTTAAATGGGTCAAAAATTTTGGAAAACGTTGTCTTAAACCTAAAATACTTTCAACTTTTGTTCTTATAATATCAACATCATTTGTATTAGACAAATTTTCTTTAGATGTTTATTGATCATAGTTTAAACTAGTGTTCACGTGTTCTGGATTGTAGTAGCATCAAACGTAGCAAATAAAATTGAGGTTGTTAAATTGATTCAAATGAGCTTTAAAGTAATTCACACTTATGCACATAAATCTTCACATCTGCCATTTTGTGTGGTTGGATTTTGAAGTTACGTTTCAGCATAATAGATTTCCAATACAATATATGTACCGAGGAATAAATAAGAATTGAATAAATTATATTCACATTGATAGATGGACTACATAAAGCAAAAAAGAAATAAAGAAAGAATGCATTCCATTTTGTTCTTTCCTCTTTGAGTTCTGGGATTTATATTTAAAAATACAAAGCCAACTCAAAAATGCTTTTGATTTCAAACAATCAAAACATTTAAAAGTTGTGGCTTCTCACTATGTCCCCTAAGTGTAAAGTGATGCTCATTGTGCATATGCATATGTGCACAAATATATATATATATATATATATATATATACACACAAATATGCGTATAAAACAAATAAATAAAATTTCAGTTTAAGATTTGATATTATTTATTCGTCTTTTTAGCAAAAGACAGTGTATATGATAAATATAGATATCAACCTCAACTTGTATAAAATAATACAAGCATGTGTATGAAATGTGCATTTGTTACATGAATAAATTGATAATGAAAATTATAATTCATAATGATGTTTAGTGTTTTTTTGCAGGTTCTCAGCTGAGATGTAGATTTGTACAAAGTAGTACAAAGTCGTATTTATCACATGAAATTTGTGTGTATTATTGGAAGTTTAAGTTTTGTACTTAGATATGTGTCTTATTAAAGTTGCAAGTTTCTACGATGATGACTTTAATATTCACTTTACTTATTATTGATATAAGTAAATTGATGTCACATGATGATTACAAAGCACAATTTCTCCAGGATAGCAATTGTATTTTTTTTCAAAGGATTTTGTGATCAACGTTGTAAATTTCTCTCAATTTTTTTTCTCATACAAGGTATGTCAATTATGGGCATTTTTCTTTTCATCAACAAAAATATGCGACTTGAAGCATATTCATTAGTATTATTATTACTATTATTATTATTATTATTATTATCATTATCATCATTTGAATTAACATGTGCTAGAAAACAATGTGCACTATACATTGTTATAAACCCAAGTGCATACATATCAAATAATACACATTTTACTTGGTGCTTTTTGAACTCACAAAAACTAATGATTATAAGTGTATACTTCAAATGTGGATTAAAATATAAAAAGACATGAACCCTTGTAAGACCAAAAAAAAAGATAAAGAAAAGTAAAAAAGAAAAGAAACTTATGAGATATATGACCTTCACATCAATGCATTCATGTGGTAGGGAAGGATAACAAGAAGAAAATAAAGGAGACACAAAGATAAAGAAAATTACAGGGAGGAAAAAGAAGAAGGAAGAAGGAAGAAAGAAGAAAGAAGGAAGGAGATTCCATCCATCCACAGTTCCCCTTGGAATCTGAATACCAAGGAGGAGAGTGCATCTGGTGAGGGCGTGCGGGATATTATCAACCCCCCACAGGAATAGAATGTAATATTAGGAAACGGGGGGCTGTAGTATATTTAAAATAAAACAATTATATACAAAAATTAGTAGTATATGAAATTTAATTGTAGTAGACCAAATTAGAGTTTCAAGCAACTAATTATCCAAGCGTGGATGTGTTGGATTCCGACGTGGCGAATTCCACGTGGCATGTCCAGGTGTCTCCATGTCCTCAACCTACTCAGCCACCAACCCTAAAATAATCTTAACCCACACTGGCAAAGGCCATGCTTTTTTGGGCCTTTTTTGGAGCCTTTTTTTAGGGCCATTATCTCTTTATCCTTTTGTGGAGTGGTCGTTTATTACAAGAGTACTTTTTTGGATTGGCAACTCAGGATCCTGTACTACAGCCCATCATTTGTTTGTCTACTACACTTTGGTTTTTTATTTATTTTTATTTATTGATTCTTTTTTTGTTTTGTTTTTGGTGTGTTTTTTTTGGGCTTCCTGGGTAATGTGGTGCAAGCAATTCTTTTTCGTATTGTGAATGGTTGTCAAAGCTTCAAACTGAGGTACATCATCTTGGAAAACCTTGCTTTCAATTGAAACCCAGTAGATGGGGTACAACTTACACATCTCTATTGTAGAGTTGTCTCATTTGCATGGCCTTTTCTCTCTCTCTCTCTCTCTCACACTCTTTTTTAATTGCAGATGTGACATTAATTGTGAGAACAGGTCTTTTCAATACAGTCTGGGCAAGGTTGAAAACATCATATTCAACTGCTGTGAATTGTGTTACCAGTATTGACGAACTCCTTTGTTCGAGTGTGTTTCTGAGTTGAGAGCCTTGTCAAGGAAGTCTCTAATTCCACAACTCAAGGTTTTAAAAACATGGTTTAACAGAACTCCATGAAGTCAACAAACTAAACGACGTGTAGAAAATCATTAGAGTATTGTTATCAAGCAAGGTTTGTAGGGAGTCAAGTAAGTCTAACCTCAATTTCATGGAGTCTTTTGATTGTGTCTTTTTTTAAATGTGAAAATGAAACCAAACAAAGAAGAGTTCTGCAAAACATACAAGCCAAAAACCAAGAGTGAAATGTGATGAGAAAATTGTTAAGAGGGGAAGCTTCGTTGCCTTGTTCTATAAGCATGGATTCCACTAGTTCCAGTATACTACCAAAGAATTTCACTGCAGAAGATGTTGCTCTCCCAGTATCTGCAATAAGCCAAGAGTGCGCCATGATTCCTGCAGCCGACATTCTTCGTGTTGAAGAAGCAATTCCCTCACCTACGGTTGCTTCGATCATAGATTCTGAGTGATTTGAGAGTAGTCCTCAAAAAGGCCATCTGGCCACAGTTATGAATTATGACTTAGGAGGCTGCTAAACAGATTTTTCTGCTTGAAAAAATAGTAGGTTTGGTTCCAAAGAGATGTCACGACTGTGACAACCTCCTATAGTTGCAAGTGGAGTTTACCATGGCCCTCTCCAGTTCAGCTAAAAAACAAAAGTCGCATTTCCCACAGCCATAAAAACCTGTCATGACACCCCGCTCGTACATTGCTATATACCGTATTCCTCCACTGTAAAGTTGCTAAACTCAAAATGCATAAACGCTGACTTATCTGCGAAGTTAATTGACTTAATTTTGCTGGGAAGTTACGCGATAAGCATGGTATGCGAAATAAATAGCAGTAACTGCAGTTGCGAGAGTCACCACGGCTATTGTGTCTCCAGATTCCCAGTCTTCCACCCACGTTGGCCATTTGAACCTAGGCTTTTTCTTCTCCTCGTACGGTTTAAGTGGACCTTCTTCTTCCTGTTCGTCCCCACACATTTGGTGCAGGTCGCGTGACCCAATGCGTGGAAGTAGAGGAGGAGGAGGCTTTTTCCTAATAGGAGCAGTTGCTCCAGTAGATGTTGAAGCTGCATCCACCTTCCCTTCTGGTTTAGTGCCATCCTGAGTTAGATTACTGGAGGGGTTCCTTTTCTGCTGAACTTCCTTCTGCTCATCCTCAGTCAATCCCATCTGACCCCTGCATCAGTACAAATAACCCATCAGTTCCACAGTTCTCTAGAGCTTCTTAACTTGATATTGCTTACTGCTGATTTGCTTTCAATTCACATTCAATAGTTTCTCAAAGACGAGTCTGAATTACCTCCAAAGCCGACCCACCACCTCGCCAAGTCCAATGTGCTTCTCCATTATCTCTGGGACATCATCAGGAGTGACGTACCCGTACCTGAAACCCCAAACAATGATTTTCTAAATCGATAGTATCGCGAACCTCAGCTAATAACTGTACCTAAAACCTCAATACCTTACACAATACAAACCAAGTATTTATGAACAAAACATGTACCCTACTTCAGATATATTAGATTAAGGTAAATATATTGAGTTCCAACAGCATATCACCGAGGTATGAAGCGCAGCCTTGGCCAAATGATGCAAACGAAAGTATCCGACATTTGCCACAAAAGTAAACACAGGGATCCAACAAAAGTATAAAATTTCCGTCCAGAACGTGAAAAACTCACCAATGACCCGAGCAACCTCCAGAACCTCCATCAGGTCTAAACACAATCACGTTACCGGCATACTTATGGCCTCCGATGTGAGAGCAATAGTTTACAAACACTTGTTCACCTAGCCCACGCAGAGCAATTTCCTGATTGAAACGCTCTCTTAAAGGAGGTCCGCATACACCACACCTCTTGTCACGACTGCCATGTGCACAGATGAACACATGGGTTCCAACAAGAGGCTCAGATTCCCCTAAGGCCCACTTGTCCCCCTTCAACAGTACCTCATCGACAAAAGATTCAACATCTGATTCTGAAATTCCCCTGCAAGAGAAAAGCATAAGGTACATGATAAATTTAGTGAATCTCCCCACCAGCTAAGCCATCTACATTGCAACAAAAAATTATGTTAACTGTGAAAATGGCGGCGAGCAAATCAAGCACATTGTAAGGGTAGGATTTACAACACATTTTCAATACGTACGCTGGAAATCCATGGAAAAAAAAAGGACTCACTTATACTTCACCATGTCGGGAAACACCAAAATATCTCCGTTTGTCCTTTCAGGCTCATCTTGGCCATCGGCAATAGTCAAGCGAGTCTACAAAAGCAACCAGAAATTAGCAGCTTCTCTAACTGCGTAAACTACACAGAGTGTCTGTAATATTTAATCCCAGCGTTATGACAATACGTTGGCCTGCCTGGGTAGTTTTGGAAACTCAAAAGAATACAATTGAGACAATGCTGCAGATCTTACAACTCTTTCAAATAACACAATCGAATAACCAAAAGTACACAAATGATTTTCTCGATTTATGTTCGTTACCACATTATCAGGTGCTGTGGTAGAGTAGCACATTCGTGTCAATTCCAAATAGAGCGATAAATATGAGAGGTAAAACTCTAGAAAGGTGTGCTCGAGTACGATGTGCACATTGAAAGACCTGAATTGAGCAAATCCCATGCAAACGACGAGGTGTTTTGCTTGAGCTTATCTACAAATATTTATCTTAGATTCACGAGCCAACATAATGAGCTCGATAGTGAACATTGATAGGAACCCAAAAGTTTAGCAGATCTCTAAGTATCTACATTAGATGATTCTCTGCGATCCAACCATCCTAAACTCTTCAGTAATAGCTCACCAACACGTCCTTCTAATACGTTTCGTCAGGATGGAACCTTAGTTCCGAAATTATGTACCACAATCGTGATACAACTGACCAACTAATCAGAAGTCAAACCACATTGGATCACCGACAGAACACAGGTCAGCACAAGAAATTGGGAAGTGGATGCACAAATAGGTCACAAAGCGTGCACCACTAAGGAAATTGTCATCCAACAGTACGACACGCTAAATACATTTAGCACGGTTGCACCTGTGAACAAGTAATTGTCAATATCCCGCCTTTAATGAACCAGAATAGAGTTTTATGTGGTGTCCGTCGTTCGGAAGTCATACTTAATCGTGAGCTGCGCCGAATGATGTTTGCGTGGACGTTGATGCACAAGTTAAGCAATAGAATCATATCCCTTCTCCCTAATAAATGTTAGAAAATGCCTGCGTACCTTCTTCGGTAATTCGTTTCTCTTGCTACGCAGCGTACTGACCAGTTTAGATGGCAAAGGATGGTAGTCTGCAGCTTCTACTTTCGCTGGCCAGCTACTTGGCTGGTTGTAGCGTAAAAATACGTGGCGATCATACAAGTCGACGCTACCAACCAGCGGTTTCTTCTTCATCATTTCAGGTCGCGTAAATCCATGCGTTGCATCTAAATTCTCTTCAGTGCTGCCCATCTCCACTTGCTTCTTCTCAACACTCTCAGGGATGAGCTCTCCGGCAATAGAATTGCTTGCCATGCAAGAAACCAAGCCTTTTCTAGAGCCTCTAAAATGCAAAACGGTGCTTGATCTCAGAGAGAAGGAAGCACCACATACAGAAGCGACCGAGGAATTAGGATGCGAAGCGATGGGAGACACGAACAACGACCGGGCTTGCAAGGGCTCTAATCTCGAAGCAACAGGACAGTAGAACGCCTTGCAGAGTGCTTCGGCGCTCGATCTAGCCACACGCGGGAACGAAAAGAGAGCCAGGACGACTAACAGAGCGAACCCAATTCACTCCCCTGCAAAGCCTCGAGAACAACCCACAGCACGCAACAAAAACGAAACTCCCAAATCTCAAAAGTCTCCTCCCACACGCCAAGGTCGACCCAGTCAAGGAGTGCCAGCACCTTCACGACCAGCTTAATTCCGACACGCGCCCAACACACACTGGCATCGACAGCGCACTCCAACAAACGATACTTCTCACACACGGAGTCACGGACCTGTCGCAACCACTAACGCCCGACGAACCCCCCGCACTTAAATAACCCAACAAAAATATCCACGTCGCGTCCGAATCAATGATTCCTCTCCGAATCATCCGCCGAAAATACCGATGTGGAAATCGACCTTGACACAGATATGGTGCGCTATGGTGCGGACCACGAGCTTGCTTTCCAACGCCAACATTCCACGAGCGCAGACACTGGCCTGCTGGCTGTGGCCACAGTCGCAGCAAGCTTGCAAGCAGCAGGCCCTGCCCTGCCCCACCCAAGCACGGACGGGTTCTCACTCGCCATTCCACGCATGGTTTCAGTCTTCGTTTCCGCGTGCGCCTCGCCCCTTTCCCCCTCAGAATCGCCGTTTCGACACGCGAAGGCTCCCTTTGAACTCCGTCCTTCTCGAGTGCCACGTCGGACCCTTCAAGTCTTATCTCCTGCAACTCTCCTTTCCACTCCCCCATTGACCCTCACTTTCTCGCATATATCATTCATACATTATTTATCCGTGTGTTTCATTCGTCGTTCAGAGGTAATCCACAATGGGCTCCGGAGTCGTCGCATTCACACCGGCGGTTCTTGATTCGATTCGGGATTGAATCAATGTCTGGAGATTCCGGGTGGAATTTGCCAGTACGAGTTTAAAAAGAGCTTGACACTGTGGAACGGTTCCAAAGTAGAAAAGTGCCCTGACTTTAAAGTTACCCAAGGACGAATTAGGATATAGTTTGCCCAAATTAAGAGGAGTTTGGTGCCTGGTTCTTCGCAGCTGTGGATTTTACTTGAATCCATTAACTTGTGAGGAACAAATTAGAAAACTTAGCAACTGTGGATTTTACTTGAATCCATCAACTTGTGAGGAACAAATTAGAAAATTTTGCAGTAGTGGATTTTACTTGAATCCATCAACTTATCAAGAACAAATTAGAAAAAACTGCACTTGTATCAAGCTCAAAAATCAATATGTTCATATTTGAGAAGATATCCATTTTGTCAAGAAGTTGAGATCATAACTTTAATGGTTTCATAACACCGAGAAATATTGGTTGTGATGAGAAATAATTGACTACTTATGTATTATCAATAAAGGATGTTATTCATTGTTTGGAGCAATGCATTGAAATCCTCTCCAAATCATTCAATATCAATATTGTCATGTGATATGGCATCAAATGCCAAATCCTGTCAAATGTATGTAGTTTAGTTTGATTAGTGGTTTTTCATCCATTGATAATTTTTTTGTTAATTGATTTTATTCATATCAACTAAGGTTTGAATACTTAAGTGGAAAAAAATCCTTGATTTGACATTCTTATCAAGTTAAGTTTTGTAAGTGATTTTGAGAATGATAGAACTTATTATAAATGTTTGCTTGGCTATGGTGATTTAGCTATTTTAATAAAGCTTTAGGATTTCTCTTATTTTCACACTTGCACTTTTGAGTTCTCCCTTTGTGGTATGAGAGATAGCTTGATTTAGTTTCATATATATATTTCTAATATTTTACTTGATAAAAATCTCTCATTCTCTTCAATTTGTAGTATAATAAGTTAGAATGAAGTGTATTTAAGATAAAATAATATAAAATAAAAGAATAATTTTGAATTGTTTTTTCTATTGGATTTTAGATATGGCTAGATTGTTGTATTAGGCACTAGAATCCAACTAGATTATGTGTTTGTATACTATGGCTATATTGGAGTATGATATACTGAATATTGGATTTTGAAATCTTACAGTATTATATTGGGATAGTATTAGATACTATATGGAGTATGGAATTGCAATATTAGGTACATGTAGGTTACTACTAAGGAGTGCAAAATTATGAAGCAAGGTTGAATTATGAGGTTGAGGTGACAAATTATTAGCTTGGCTTGCAAGAAGATATTGGAGAATCATGGCAAGAGGCTTAGTTGTAGCAGTGAAGGCGCTAGAATGTGGATTGTAAGAGCTATGCAACATAAGAGGATTTTGAAACAAGGTAGTACAAAGTACTATTATGTACCAAATTGTATGAGGCCTAAACATGATATGTAATAGTGAGCAGCAGTTAATGGCAATTAATGACAACTTGCGACATTTTTTTGCGGCTCAAGGCACCAATCCATGGTCTTAAGTAAGCCATAGAAACAAGATATTATGGTGACCGAACTGCATAATTATAGGATTTGGTAATTAAAGATTTCATAGTATTGTGATGTATTTAATTTAAGTATATCAAAGTTATTTGGTGAGTAATTAATTTTACTTATATAGAGAAAGGAATATAATGCTAATAAACTTATAAATATGAATGGAATTTAGAATAAGAGATTGTTGCCTAGATGAATTATTTAAGCTTTGAGGATATTATTTTTTAAAGTACATATCCAACTCTATAGGATTTCAAGGCTAATATTGGATGAAGGTTAAGATAGGGATTTTTGCATCAAGTGGGTTTTTTTTGGACTAGTGTCATGTAAGAGGGGGAGAGGAAGAGCGAGAGAAGTAGGAGATGAGAAGGATCACTGGAATTTTGAGGTGACAAGGTTCAAGACTTAATACACAAGAAAGAAAGTTGTTAGCTTTTCAATAAGCCTTAGTACACAAGAAAGGAAGTTGTGATGAAGGAGATGTATGCAAATTTGTAGAAAAGAGGTCACTAGAATTTTGGAGTTATGAAATCCAAGTCTAGTTTGGATTTTTCTATACCATCTATTATATTTTCATCTTTTGTATTGAAATTTCAAAAGAAGCTAGATCTTATTTTTAGCTTTTTAACAATCCTTAGCACACAAAAAAGAATTATGAAAAATGAGATCTATCTAAATATATGGAAGACGAGTTGCTAGAATTTTGAGGTGACAAGATACAAGTGTGATTTATATTTTTTTATGCCATTTTTTGTATTTTTATCTTTTTATATTCAGATTTAAAAAAAAATAGATTTTATTGTTAACTTTTCAACATGCCTTAACATGCAAGAAAAATAGTTGTGATAAGAAAAATCTATGCAAATTTATTGATGGAGATTTTGAGGTCTATAGTTAGAGCATATAGCCAACTTTTTCTTTAATTTGGTTCTTATTTTCTTTGAAATTTATTTATTGACTTTGATATGTTGAATTTTATAGCTTGAATTAAATTTAATGAGCTAAATTTTGCATAAATTGAATTAATAATAAATAAATTATAGGTATTTTAGTGAGAAGATTTGAATTTGAGATTAGAGTTGGGAATTGGATGCATCTTAGTATGAAAAAGAAATTAATCCAATAATTTTATTTAATCTTTGACATGATTTTTTTATATTTGAATTTTATTGGAATAATGTTGTCTCTTCTTGCAATCCACTTGCAATCAAAGATCCTATATACTCTTGAGGAGGCTTGTCTTCTTAACAATAGTCACAAGATATTTTTATAATTATAGGACTATAGTTTATAATTTTTTTTGGTCATAGATCTATTGCACAGTCATAATATATTTTAAAAAAAAAGAAATAAAAAGAAGACACACACACATATATTGTATAGAACTCTTAAGTGTTAAGTTTAGAAGCTCATTCTAATTATATATGGAATCCAAATTTGATTACTTTTGAACCAATTTTATATGGAAGAAGTTCAAAGAATCTATTGACATACTCAATTTTTAGAAAGGAGGTCATTTCAAATATTGAAGTGGCATTTACTAAATATTGATTTCTTTTTAAGTGAGATTTTTATTTTCTCTCACTTCTGTATATTTTTTAGTTCATTGTAATTATTTTTTCTTATCATATATTCTATGATTTATAACCATCAACTATAAGCAGATGTTGATTGCTTTTATTCACTTTTAATTATTTCTTATGTATTAATAGGAATGAAGATTCAATATGGATTTTTGGATTTCATTTTTGGTACCGTTTTTTAATTGTGGATATTATTTTAAGAATTTTTTTATAATTTCTCTATTTTAAATTTGTACTAGTTTATATTATTAGACATATTCTAAAGATGAAATGAAGCTGATAGTTGGCAAGATCCTTTTATTTGTGGATATATTAGACTTATAGTGATCCAGATGTGATTGTCAATGAATTCTTAAGATTGGTAGAGTTTGTAAGCATATGTTGTCTTTTTAGCTTTTAGATAGTTGTAGGTACCTAAATAGTTTCTTTTATGGTATATGTTATGAGTCAATATTATCGATTTCTTTCACAAAACTATTTGGATAGTGACTGCATTAAAGACTTTAAGCCAGGGATAGATATTAACAAGATTTTTCAGCTTGTTTCAATATTAGATACCACTTAGAGGCTTTGAGTTCCAAGGATAGACACATTTTATAAGATGGAAGACGATCTTCATAACATGGCAAAGAATAGATTCTTAAGAAGAGTTGGGGGCATTCTTTTACTAGATTGGAAACTCAGATTTCAAATGTGGATGAAGGAGAAGCGTGAAAGGTCTCCAACTTTCAATAAGTGATATGCATTTGAGCTCTTATCAAAATATTTGGAACATAAGATACTCTAAATCTATGAAAAATAGAATATAGAATACTCATATAAATTATGTGAAATAGAGCATTATTGAGAGGCATACATAGAGCTTATTTCAACTCTTAAAGAAGGTAATATCTCAAGCTTAATGCCCATAGTCAAGAAAGAAGTTCCAATCCAAAGAAAAGTTAGTATATTTTTGAAAGATATAGCCACTTCTTTAACCAATATTCTAATTACTTTATCTTGTATGGCTCAAGCAATAAAAATAGCTTTATTTCAAATAAGAGAGCCACCATCATTTGAATCTCTTCAAATATTTATTACGTATTTAGAGCACAAATATAGAAATTTTAGATATAATCAAATGCAATGTATTCAAGACTTTTGTTACAAAAAAGAAGATATTCCACATACTTTTTATACTTATTTTGCTTGATTTGTAGTAAAGACAAAAGATAAGTTTGTTGAGAGCCAACTTCTTATCATCAACATATACATTTATCTCAATAGTTACTCATATGATTAGGTAGAAGTAGATAAATATAGATTAATTTGATAAAATCTTCTAAAGTAGCTTTCTAGAAGCTTCATAGATATGGTTCTAATTTTAGATGTATTTTTAGATTAAAAATTTGGCCAACAAATTAACCACATATTAATAGTTTGTGAAACAAGTTAACTTCATGTAGTAGCTTATGGAACAAACTAAATATGTGGCACATACATAGA